AGGGTGCCTAAAGCTCCTATAGGAAACCACCATCTTTCTGGCTGGGAGAATCAGGGCACAGAATGTGGGGCAACCATCATTGCTGAGAAGAGTTGAGGGAGGAACCCATGAAAGGAGAGCCAGAGGAGAGGAGGAGTTCCAAATTCTGTGCTCAAGAATCTCTAGCTGACTTGTGAACTAAAAGGAAGTTTCTGCCAATAGCAAACAGATTTTCACTCACAGAAGTTTACATAGCAATTGCCTCATCCCATGTGGGTTTGGAGTTCTTCCTAACACTCACCATGCCACAGGATATACAGGTGTTGTCTTGCCCTGGAAGCCAGACAGACCAGAATATTGTGTGAGATGGCTGACTCAGGTGTTCTTGGATGGATTCCAAATACTATGCTCCTTTCCAGGCCTGAGAATCGCCGGACACTGTCGAACACAATGTGATCACCCAACTCACATGCATCACCGAGCTGCATGATCCTTTTCTTTCTCAATGCTCTCAAGAGATCATTTTTGTATCGCTCCACCTCTTCTGTGGTGCTGACAAGCACAGCAACATCATTTTCAGAATAGCCTTTTGTAAAGTGGTCCTTGCAGGTGTCTGCCACGTAGGTAAACATTGCCTGAATGGGCAAGTCTGTCTCAATTTTTAAGGATCCCTGAATACCCTGAGTCCATTCAGCCTCAGGAAGCATCCCCAGGGACTCAGGTGGGATGTTACGTGGGGGATTATATGCAATTATTTCCATTTCTCGTTGTAAGTAGTGGGCTATTTGATCTGCATTGCGGACCACTTTGGTGAGCTTTGCTGTTGGGTTCTGGTCTGAGAAAGGGGGGAGGCCACAGCAAGTCAAGTGGCTGGTCTGGAAGTAGTCCAGAAAGATCCAGAGAATCCCTGGGTAATGCTGAACTCTCTGAGTGATGGTTTTTGCTTTCTCGTACCATTCTCCATCTTCAGTGCGGAAATTCTGAGCTTCATCAATGATGATGTGCTGAATATCTTTAGAGTCAAAGCTATTTTTCATGAAAGCTTTCCGGGTTGTCACCTGGCAGATGCCTTTATTACTGTAAAAATTAAAATAAGATACTCAAGTTTTCCCTAAAACAACAACAACAACAAACTACAGGGAAACAATTACTTTATCGTGATGCCCTGAACAGAGTCTGTTGCCACAGCTCACTTTTCCACCTAATTCTCAAGGAACAAGGTGATTTAGCAGATAAAAGTAACCAGACTAAATAACACTTACAGACATAAGGTCCAACTGCTTACCTGACAAAGTTCCTCAGAGGCTGGTTCTCACAAATGTAGAGAATTCTATCTGCCCCACAGTGAAACACATTCCTGATCTTCTCCATGATCTTCATGGCCATGATCGTCTTCCCTGAGCCAGGCAAGCCATGGACGAACAACTCTCTGTTCTTGCGGAGGTTTGTAGAGAATAGCGCATACTGTTGGGCTGTGAGCAGATTTAGAACCTCACAGCCAAGCTGGTCACTCAGGAGAGACCTGAAGCCGAGCAGGACAATCACGAGGGCCTGCAGCAAGGCTTCCACTTGCTGGGTGTCTCCCAGGCTATAGGACCCGGGGTAATCTATCGGAGAGACTGCACCCGCCAAGCACTCTGTGGTGCACTGAGGACTCAGGCAGAGGACCTTGGCCTTGACACACACCTTCCCGGTGTAGCCCCCCATGTTCACCAGCTTCTGCTTCAAAGCAAAGGCTGTGCGAGTGCAGTAGCCCTGCCCCCCTGCCTCCTGCTTCCTGAGAATGGTGTAGAGAATGGGGGGGCTGTTCTGTGCTATCAGCAGAGCATCACAGATGACTCCTTCCTTCTTGTGCAAGTTCAGGTCCACAGCCCAGCTTCTGGAGAAGATCAAAATTCCCTGGGAGAAAGGACGCATTTGCCTATTTATTAACTTCTCCAGCCCTTCATGCTCTGAGGATAGCTCCGTCCAGAGGGATTTGGGAGTATATCTTAAATGACCTGATGCCACTAGATATGAAAAAATAGAAAACATTGTAAAAATGTTTTTGTATTATTTTGTATGCATCACATATTAGAAAAGGAGAGTAAAGCCCCCCAAATAATTATACAATTTAGGATAAATTCCTTCTGGTGCACTTCTCTTTAACCCACACCCTATAAATCTGCTCCAATGACATTTTCCTTCTATGTACCTCAGGGAGAGTAGAGTCTGTCAACAAAAATGGAATTTATTGAGCCTGAGGAAGTGAAAACCATATAGGTATTCAATCACTCTTAAATCTGAAATTCTTCCTGTGGAATGTTAAAAAAACCTTCCTTACAGTTGTGAAGAGCTGGGTAAAAAAAAAAAAAAAAAACTATAAAAAAAAAAACAACAAAAAACAAACCTTCCTGATAACCGGATGACTACAGAGATTTCATGTAAGTAAGAAAACTATTTGGTTGAAAATGGCCCTAAGGCAGACCTAACATATTAATTTTCAGGCCCTTCATAAATGTTTAGGTACACATAGGATATTTCTATATTATGTTTTACTGTCAGATCTCACATTTAATATGTTGGATGTGTGAAGTTAAAGAAACCATTTTCCTCTTCTAGAAATCTAGGTTTCCTTTTCTAGGTAGGAAAGGACAAAACCTTGCTAAAACAATATTTGGGCAGGGAGGAGACAGGTTACCTAACAGTGTCCATGGTTGAATGATTATTTTGTGCTGCCTCTGGGACAGTGGTGACTCATTCCCCTTTAGCTCCTTCAAGAGAAATTACTTGTGGTTTCTCCATGTTTTTATATTATATTAGGCAAACATTTTTATTCTTATTACAGATATGATTCCTCCATCTCTGAAAAGCTGACCAGGAGTGGTCAATTATTCCACAGTGCCCCCGTGTTTGCCTGCACTTGTACTAGATGAGTGGTTTCCAGACCCAGCAGAGCATCAGAAGAATTTGAGAAGCTTGCTCAAATGCACATGCCTAGGCCTCATCCCTGAAAATTACACCTTTATAAGTTCTTGGTGGGGACCCAGACACCTGCATGTTTAACTACCTCCTACAGCATTTCTGATAATCAGCAAGATTTGGCAACCACTAAGGTGTTTCTAAGGGTACCTGAAACCTAACCCCAAGAGGCTTGTGGCACTGTCACTTGATACACTTGGATTTGCAGAACACAGTCTTTCATGGATTTGTTTTTAACCAACTGTATTAAATCATCTCCCTTTCTCCTAATGTAAAAACAGGCAGTTAGTACCTGGAAACAAATGTCGTTGGAGATCTACTTTATGTTCCAGACCTTTCTTAGAATACACCGGTCTGCAAAGTGGAGGCCTGTGGGACAGGCTCAGCTGAGATTCAAAAGCCTCGGCCAAGTCTGAAAGTAACTCTGAAAAGAAAGAACAGTTTACCCTGTAAGATTTCATCCCTCACCATTGGAACAGACCATTGAAAGCTGTGCCTAAATTTCACTTCACATGATACAATTCCAGCCCCAAAACCACACACTTGACCCTTCCTTCACCCAATCTCAAGCCTCCCAAAGACCCACCATTACAAAGCCCTTCTTTTGAATCTTGCATGGTGTTTCTCAATTCAAAATAATGCTCCCTGTTCCATGTTTCAATAGCTCTTTCCTGGAATTATAGTGAAACTTAAAACACTCTCTTTTGAAATGCAAATCACTACATGTTTTACATTCCTGCTCATGCACCTCCACTGACCCCAACCAAACAAACCTCACCCAACACTGGCTCTGGGCTCCGATAGCTCATCTCATGCTAAACTGAGGTCCAGTGTAATAGTTAACATGAAGTTCTAGACATTCCAATTAGAGGATTTTAATAAAGGAATCCATTTCCAAATTTCTGTTTACTACTGCTTTTCTGATAAATCACCATTCACAAAGTATCTGACTTTGGCTTTTTCTCACCTAATAAAACCTTCCCATATATGAAAAGCATGGACATTTAAAGAAAGTAAATTTCAGTGGAAGTTACAGAGAATCTAGGAGGACATGGAGATGCTGAGGAGGCTGGAGGACAGGGAGGGGGGCGCTTGCTTGCCCTTACCTGGCTCAGGATCAATCATCATGCCTACCCACTCCTTGGCCGTCAGGCTGCAGATGTCCTTGCCATTCACCATCCATGATGTGGGATCTTTTGAGAACACTGCACAGCAGAATGGCTGCACTTTAATCACATAGAGATAACCATACAACTCTCCTGCCTTAAACACATCTATGATTTTGGTGCGGTACTCCACCCCTGATTCTGAAGAGCAAAAGTGGACAATGGGCAATGTAGCAATTGCGTTTGCTACTATATTTTCTAAAAAGCTATAGTCAATGTTTTGTTCTGCACATCCCAAGACTTTCCTACTCTTATCATCCACTCCTATAAAAAGGTAGCCTCCTCCAGAGTTTGCAAATGCTGAGACATACTGTGGAATTATGGCTTGTACATAGTCTTGGATGTTTTCTTCGGTGCACTGTCTAAACTCTGTGGATTGAGACTTAGGAAATGGCAGGATTTCACCATGTTGAAGGTGGTCTTTCTGGAAAACTAAGTCAGCAGGATCCAGAATATTGAGGTTTTGAGGTACAACATTGAGAACTTCACTAGAAGATTTTTTCTCCAAGATTTTTGCTTTCCTTTTCTTCAGGAAATCAAATGCCTCTCTTGAATCCATGGGAAGCACAGAGGTGCCAGATCTACAGTATAGTGAAGAACTCAGGCTGCAAATGCGGGGCTTCATAGAACTGTTTTCAGCGAAAGGGCCACTGCTCCAAGACTTAACAAAAATGTAAAAATCCCTCCCTTCTTGCCTGAACTCAAAGAATGCTTGCAAATCTAAGGACTCAATAAGGTCTCTCAAAGACTGTTCTAAATCTAGTCCCAGTTCCACAGGATGCTCCTCCCTGTTGGCCATTTCCATCCGAATCACTCCTCCTCCTGAGTTTAATAAAGCACACACAGCCTGTGTAACTTTTGCCTTCTCTTGTTCTTTCTGCGTTTCCTGCAGCATGTTTCTGTCTCCATCTCCAAGAGCCACTTTTCCTACGTTGATGACCAAGTCTGGGTAAGACGATTCTACCACCAGAGATGAATTATATTCTTCCATGTTCATTCTGCAATTGAAACCATTAAAACAGGACTGATGAAGAAGTAGATTGCAAGTACACACAAAATGCATTCATTAATTTATTCAAACCTGTTGATTGAGTTCCTACTAGGTGCTGGGGGCTGGAGGCTCAGTGGCAAAAGCAAGGATGGGCATAGCCCCTGCTGCTCAGAGCTCTCTGTCTGGAAGGAAATATGGCTGAATAATACAACTGCAGTCATGTGTAACAAGTACTTTGAAAGGGGAGCACTTAATAGCAACAGTTAACCTAATATGAATAGGGAAGCCTTCCTGGAGGAAAGGGAGTCAAGCTAAGATCCTAGTGAGCCCAGCAAAGGAATCAGAGATTGGGAGAAGAAATTAAAGCATTATAATCTGAGTGAATGGTATATGGAAAGCCCTGGAATCAGGAATGAAAATAGTGTATTAAAGCAGTAGAGAGATGTTCAGCCTGGCCGGATCCTAAGCGTGATAGTGGATGGGTGGCAAGGAGGGAATGGTGAAAGGGGAGGCTACACAAAAGGGCCCTGCTCACATCAGTGGGATGCAAGAAAAAGTTTTAAGCATGGGAGTGATATGAACAGAAAACCATATAAGAAACACACCTTACTGATGAAGAACAGATCTGTGGTTGTCAATGGCTGTGGAAGGGAGAGGGTGTGGTTACAAAGGGATAGCACAAAGGAGCTTTTTGAGGTGGTGAAACTGTTCCGTATCCTGATTATGGTGGTGAGTATAAGAATCCATTCATGTGTTAAAATCTGTAGAACTGTGCATCGGAAGAGTTAATTGTACTGTAGTGTAGTTTTCTAGAGGGGTGGGCACATTATCACTTCAGGGTGGAGAACTAATCAGAGAGGACCCAACCAGTAGGGAGGTGTTTGCAGTAATGCAGTGAGAGATGATGGTGGCCTGGACCTCAGTAATGGTGTTCAGGATGAAAGGAATTGAGCATCTGAGAGATATTTAGGAAATGAAATTAACAGGTGCTGTGATTGACTAGATAGAAATAGGGGGAAAGGACTAAACTTTAGTTAACATGGTTTTTGGCTATGGCAACTGGATGGGTAGTACCACCTCTTATTGGCAAGAGATTAATGATCATTGAAGGTGGGTAATGGGTGAATGGGAATTCACAATCCCATTGTCTTTACCTTTGTGCATATTTGAGAAGGTTCCATAATAGGTTATTAAAATGACCTCATCCTTTAGATTTGAGTGGTAGACACATTAGTGTTCATTATATTGTTCTTATTTCTCTGTAAGTTTGAAATAGTTCATAACATAAAAAATTGAAAAGGAAAGTGGGGCACAGGGATCTAGAACATTGATATAAAGGAAGTTAAACTTTTGGACTATACATTCTCAGTGGATAGAGTGGGAAATGAAGACATCCAGGGCAGGAGTTTGATCTGACAAATGGAGAAAAAGAAGGATCGATGACATCTTTATGATTTCAAAGAACTTGTATTTGGGAGCAGTCATGCAAATCAATAAAACTCAACAGACCCATGGTGAGAAGGAGGCTCTAAAGACACTCAGAATTGTGCTGCAACCTACACTGTGGTTTTTCTCTTTTGCTTGATTATACATGCAAATATACCATCAAAACAGTTCATTCTTTGACTTTTCAGTGCAGGAAACATTCAGCAAGCACTCACTGTGGGCAACCCAAGTACAGTAAGCGTCTGCCTGCAGGCGGTTTATGCTTTAGGTCACATCAAATTACCATGACGAGGCTTAACATATGTGGAGAAAAATCCATAGCACTAAATACCTCAATTGGTTAGAGAGAAAGGTACAAGTAGAGTGATCTGTTTCAAAATTTAAAGAATAAAAAAACAAACTTAAAGAGTTATCCAAGCGATATTTTTGTTAGTAAAGAAGAGGAAAAAAAAAAAAAAAAAAAAAAAAAGACACAGTGGGAGATCAAGATAGGGAATTAAAAAAATTTTTTTTTATTTCACCATATCACAGTGGTACAAATGTTTAGGTTATGTATATTGCCTTTGCCCAACCCAAGTCAGAGCTTCAAGTGTGACCATCCCCCAGATGGTGCACACGGCACCCATTAGGTATGTATATACCCATCCCTTGTTCCCCCTCCCATCTGCCCGACACTGGATGAATATTACTACTATATGTGCACTTAAGTGTTGATCAGTTAATACCAATTTGATGGTGAGTATATGTGGTGCTTGTTTTTCTATTCTTGCCATACTTCACTTAGTAGAATGGACTCCAGCTCTAGCCAGGATAATAGAAGAGGTGCTAAATCATCATTGTTTTTGTGGCTGAGTAGAACTCCATGGTATACATATACCAAGTTTTAATAATCCACTCATGTATTGATGGGCACTTGGGTTGTTTCCACACAGATAGGAAAATAAGCAGCGCATCTCACTGACTTTCTCAGTTAGTTTTTCTAGTAACCTCTATGATCCCAACAGCTGTAGTTGGAGCCTAGTCGAAATTCCTGAGTTTATATTATTTACCCTGAGAGTGTATCTTTAAAAGATAGCATATTTAAAGAATTTTATTTTGGCTTAATTTTGGCTTAATTTACTTTTTTCCCTCCCTGGAATTCTTAGGGGCTCCCTCAATTAGAGTTATATAAACACTTAGCTATATGCTGAATCTGATCAATACAGGAACATAGAATTTGAGAGACATTTATGCCTTTATTTTCTAATATCCTCTGAGGATAGGAAACTTCTTCCCTGAGTTGTCCTGGGCATGTCACTACCACTTAAAAAGGAACAAACGCTTTTGCAAATGTATCACTTCAATATCAAAAAGGTTGAGGTCTCTGTGGGGGGCACTGACTCCTCTAGGATTCTTCATTCCATTTACCAGGTCGCTAGCAGTAAAGGAACACTCAGTCCATTAGGACTTAATGGTCATAAAGCAAAACACTCCCTCACTTTGATCACATTAAAACTCTAACCAGTTCTACCCTTTCAACCTAGAAATATTTAAGGAAGCTAGACCTACACTCATTCTTCCTGTAGTTCAGGGTTTGTCAACCTCTGCACTATTGAGATTTGGGGCTGAAAAATTCTTTGTTGTGGAGACTATCTTGTGCATTGTAAGGTGCTTAGCAGTACTCTTGGCCTCTACCCAAAAGGTGCCATTAATACACTCCCCTTAAATTGTGACAACCAGAAATCACTCCAGACAATATGTACCATGGATGGCACAATCCACTTCCCCACCCAC